TATATATATATATTACATATATATACATATATATACATATATATACATATATATATATATATATATATATATTATATATATATATATATATATATATATATATATATATATATATATAATGTGTGTATATGTCGTGCTGAATAGGTAAAACTGGTCGGTTAGCAAACACTCATTTAAAATTAAGTCCTTTCTAAAATTTTCTCTTATACGTTAAAAGATATATTTTTTTTTTCATTTATGTTAATGTAAAACTTTAAAATTTTGTACTAAAAGAACTTTAGAAAATTTACCTAACCCTATTATAACAAGTGCAATTTAATTTAGCCTAATCCAACTAAATATATTTTAGATAAGTTTACAATAATTTAATAAGCGAAATTATTGCATAAATTTTCGCTTGCCTTATTCGCAAAAAAGAGCGGTGCTATTTAAGCCAAAATCACAAGTTTTACCTTTTCGGTACGACATACACACACATTATATATATGTGCAAAACAACCACTCTGAAAGAATAGAGAAATTCCAAGCGCTTTCGTGACTACTCACATTATCAAGGAACTATGAAAGTAAAGCATCCAAGGAAGCTATATAAGGGGTCTGGCCAACACCTCACTATCAGATCCCACAACGGTATATATATATGTGTATATATATATATATAATATATATATATATATATATATATATATATATATATATATATATATATATATATATATAATATATATATATATATATATATATATATATATATATATATATATATAACTCTTCACACCTTTGGAAACTAGTATTAGGAGAAAGCTTGCGTTATCTCCACGCTGATAGAGATCTTGTGCCGTGCAAGTGACGGAAGACTTGCTGCCAACGCGTTGTCTAGCGCCGACGAGATATCTAGGGAAAGCGGCGGTAGGGACTCTTATTACTGCGACTATCGGCTGGGACTACGGCAGTCGTGAGACTGTCGGCTGTTTCTATGACAGTCGTACGGCTGTCAGCTGGCTCTTCGACAACCCTGCGATTGTCACAAGTTGCTATAGCAGAAATGCGGCTGCCGGCTGCTGTTGCTACGATAGTCGTGCGACTATCAACTGCTGCTACGGTAGTCGTGCGACTGTCAACTATTGCTACGATAGTCGTGCGACTGTCAGCTGTTGCTGCGACAGTCGTGCGACTGTCAGCTGTTGCTACGACAGTCGTGCGACTGTCAGCTGTTGCTACGACAGTCGTGCGACTGTCAGCTGTTGCTACGACAGTCGTGCGACTCAGTATATCTCAATGCATTCACAGATAGTCCACAAATTTAAAATACAGTCAGGAGATGTTGTTGGTCCTGGACCATTACCAACTTGATAATGATCCAGGGCTTACACATCGTCTCTTTACATTGTTTTCAGATTGTGGATTATTTGTAAATCACTGAAGCTACAGTACTTTGACTGCTATTATTCATATCATTGTATGAATGAACTTTTCTTCACTTTAGGTATAACAAAGCTAAGAGGAAAAAATGAGTTTGAAAGAATAAGATCTAAAGCAATCAGATCATAAAATGAGATAATTGAATAATCAGGAGGATGCAAGAGTGGGGCAACTGGTGGCGGTGGCCAGGTGGTGCAGGTGGCGTGTACACACGCACACGGACACGTACCCAGCTGGCAGGGCCCTCACTGGTACGTGCCACCCTCCGTCCATAGCCACTTACCAACCAACGTAGCGAAACTCAAACTCACAACTAACTTCACTTTGTTCTCTCACTTGTACACTTTGGTTCACTTTGACAGGCTGCTGTTGGCTAGCTATCACACATGAAGGACAGATTCTGTATTCATTGTCATTGATTTGCTAATTTGTTAATAAAAGTACAGCAGATAAGAATTTGTGTGAGGTTCTACTGACGACCAATAACAAATGACTATTAATAAATAATTTTCCTAGTGCATTGGCCAATGTATTCCCTTTCATGGGGAAAATGTATCGTCATTAAAACCCGTATCAACATGATGCTTAAAATAGAAGCTAATTCTACAATGGTCTGAGGTGAGATTAGGACCAGATTGCAAACCGGACCTGTAACCTCCAACATAATTGTATCACAAAGATCAAACATAATTTGTTAGAAATTTCAGGGTAACCGATGGATAAGTGACTGGAACAGTGTCATCTCTCGCTCGGTTTCACAGTCAGAGAGAGACCTATTGGTCACTAGATAGATGTAACACAAAGTGGTAACTACACTCAGTAAGAAACTGACCTTGCTTTCAACAGGTCTGAGCATCATTCTCTCTTTTTTCAGGTCTAGGTAATAACTGGGTTAGCACTTGCTGGGGTGCTAAGAGGCAGGGCTGTCTCTGTGGACTGTATGACTGACCAAGAGCAGAGATAAGCCCTTGGCTGAGGACTCCACACAACTTGCCTCTCAATGTTTACTTGCGTTTTATCAACTGACCGGACCATCAGCTTCACCACACTGGACATTCACACATTATTTACAAGGGTTTGGTGGGCGAGGTGCTGAGGGTATGGCCGCCCACGCCCACATCAGAGGGGCGTGGTGGTATGGTGGTAGAGGGGTGGTGGGTAATAACCGCCATGGTCACCTCCCATGGCATGGTGTGAGGGCGCGGCGGTGGAGGCGGGCGGCAGCGGACTCAGGTATCCGCCATATGAGTCCTTGTTCTCGGCGGCGATAATGGAGGTGATGCTGAAGGGATGAGCGGGAGCCGGGTAGTTCTTCAGGTGGTCATAGTCCTTAAGGTGACCTCCATAATCCTTAAGGTAGGCGCCGTAGTCCTTGAGGTGGCCGTTGGAGTAGTCTTTTAGGTAGGCGGAGGCTGTGTAGTCCTTGAGGAGGGACGGATGTAGGGGCGGCGCTGCGTGTAAGTCGTGGGCGGTGGGTGTCCCTAGGTGGGCGGCCTGGTGGTGCTGCTGATCCTGGGGACCCTGCTGCTGCTGCTGCTGTTGTTGTTGTTGTTGTTGCTGCTGTTGCTGCTGCTGTTGCTCAGCGCTGTACTTGTCAGCAACGCTGACGGAAGGGGGCGGCATCTGGTACCCAGACTCTGGAGGCTCGAGTTTGGTGGCAGCCTCCAGAAGCTGGGTCATGCCAGACACGGGGTCGTTGGGCTGCTGTTGACCTGCTTGGCCACCGCTAACGGGGTGGCCGTGGTGGCCAGTGTGACCGCCGTGGCCCGGGTGGGCAGGGGATGCCATGGAAGAATCCATCTTGGACTCTGCATCCTCTGCGTGCTCCTGCTTCGTGGCAGAGCCTGGACTCTGGTGCTGGACTTGGCTGGGCGCGTGCGAGGGCTTGCTCGAAGTCCGTATTGTCTCCTTCTTCTCGCACTTGAAGCGCTTCTGACGGCGGAGGTAGCAGCCGTTCTCAAACATGTTGCCGGAGTCTGGGTGGAGCGACCAGAAGGACCCCTTGCCTGGTTTATCTGGCGTGCGGGGGATCTTAATGAAGCAGTCGTTGAAGGAGAGAGAGTGACGAATGGAGTTCTGCCATCGCTGTTGATTCTGACGGTAGTAGGGAAAAAGGTCCATGATGAACTGGTAGATCTCGGACAACGTCACCATCTTGTTGGGGGCGTTCTGGATGGACATGGTGATAAGGGAGATGTAGGAGTAAGGGGGCTTGGCGTGGGTGTAGGAGCGTCGGTACGTCTTGTCCTGACGCGCCCGCTGTAGCGCCGACGACACAGGACTGTCGGGCTCCTGCAACTCACGCCCGTAGCCCACCATCTGGTTCATGCCGCCCATCCCGCCCATGCCACTCATACAGCCACTCATACCGTTCATCTGCTGCATGGAGCTGTTCATGGGCGGGAAAGCGCCCATACCCGTCATGCCTGGACTCATACACTGTCCGCCCATACCCATGGCGCCGATTCCGCTCATGGAAGAAGAGAAGTCCATGTTTGGGGGCAGGCGCTGCTGGTAGGAGTTCATACCCATCATGCTGTTCATAGAGTTCATGCCGTAGGTGCTCTGCGACATGGGCGAGACGGGCGGCGCCCCCGAGCTCATGGGCGTCATGGTGTCGCTGTATAACTTCTGGGACAACATGGTGGCCCGGGTCACTATACACCACACGCGACACTGGTCTCACGGATCACGCACTGTACATATTCCCCCGCGGCAGATCTTGTGGATGCAAGCAAGAGGACACAAGCAAACTCCGGTGGTGTGGGCCCACGGAGGGTCACGCTAGCCACACGCAGCTCAACAGGTCAACTAAGGTCGCCTGGCCAACACTCACACGCACAGTTCACGGCGAGACTCTACGGCAAATTGAATGACCAAACACTTATCCTAATCATATGTGTACGTTTCTCAGTTTAACTTGGTCTTGTTTAATTCTGTGATCAGCAAAAGTACTTGTAGCACTCACAGACAGTAATAAGCGCACGGTTGGCCCTAACCCTGAGTAAATACATGGATGTTTGGGCTAGGCTAACGCCCTCCTACCCGTGCAGTCACTACGGAAGAAACCGGACGGGCTATTGGTCCAGCCAGACGGGAGGAGGGGTTCGGTTAGCCAGTCCCCGCCCACTTGCTCGCTCATCCGGCAACGGGCGTTCCGGGCGGAGTCAAGGGTGGCTCCTCCCTCCCTGGCCGACGTACGCCAGCACCCGTGACAAGCGTCCACAGCGGCGCACAGTTCCGCCACGCACTGAGGTCGGCGGAGAGCGGCCGCCGACTCACAGCCGCTAGGTTGCAAGAGGCATCAGGCCGGCCCCATCCCGGCATACTCGCGCGCATTCCAATTCTCTCTCTCTCTCTCTCTCCTCTCTCTCTTCTCTCTCTCTCTCCTTTTTGTGTTATTGGATTGATGTCAAATCCAGGAGTTGCCATGAGGACGGCACATCCTATCCTGCCATATTTGGTCCACAGAAATTCGGATATAGTTCTAAAATTTATATTATTTATTTCCAAAGTTATTATGGGTGATACTTTAGTGTTTGCACGAATAATAAGCCTTATACACGAATTACTTTTTTCATCCAATTATCATACACCTCATTCATATTAATCAACGTAATACTAATTAACAATATATTGACAATACTGCAATTAAATGTAACGAATATTTATATTAATTATTAATGTTTTCGATTTAGCACAAGCCGTTACTAGTGATTAAAACCTCGAGGGTGAATGAACACATGAGAGACTGAACGTAATGTAAGGATTACGAGAGATACCATACTTCTATAATAACGTCACGTACAATGTCAAATTTGTTGGTTTTAAATTTTAATAACTTGTTAAAATAGAGAATGCCAAACTATCTATTCATTACTGATGCTAGAAAAGGAGAATGCCAGACTAACTGTTCATTACTGTTACTTAAATAGGAAGCATGCCAAACAATCTGTTCATTATTATTGAATTAGGAAGAATTCCAGACTTTTTCGAGTTATCCTAGGTAATCTACACATGCTGCTGTATATGATAATTTATGTAACCGTATTTATGTGTACCCGTACCTGAATAAACTTATTTATTACTGCTGTTAAAACAGTGTGAATGCCATACTATCTGTTCATTACCGTTGTTGAGATAGGGTGTATGCCAGACTATCTGTTCATTACTGTTTTTGAGATAGGGTGAATGTCAGACTATCTTTTCAGAACTGTTGCTGAGATAGGGTGAATACTAGACTATCTGTTCATTACTGTTGTTGACATAGGGTGAATGCCACACTGTATGTTCATTACTGTTGTTGAGATAGGGTGTATGCCAGACTATCCGTTCATTACTGTTGCTGAGATAGGGTGAATGCTAGACTATCTGTTCATTACTGTTGTTGAGATAGGGTGTATACCAGACTATCTGTCCATTACTGTTGGCGGAAAAGAGAGAATAAAAGACTATCTGTCCATTACTGTTGGCGGAAAAGAGAGAATAAAAGACTGACTCTTCAAGACTGTTGTTTAATTATAGTCCGTGTGTACACACCAAGAAGTGTATATACACTGGGAAGTCTTCATACTTTAAAAGGGATCTTGATCCTAGGAATTAGAGCTGCCCCTCCTCTCCCTCGGGGTCAGACTAGATTACCCACATTCCCCATTGCTCTTGCGGATGTGGCGCTTCCCCACCAATACAATACCAGCAAAATAAAACAACAACAATCACACTCCTCAGAAGTGCACTTAAATGCGCGACTCCCGTTCCGGTTCGCGGGTGATTTTCGCGTTATTTGCTGAAGGTTATTTATCATTTATCCTCGTGTTATCGCCCATGACGAGCATATTATCCTATAACATGGGGGTATTATAGCATGTATTGAGGTGTTATCGTTGTTGCCATGACACCTGTTATCTTCGCAGTGTGATTTAAAAATTCGTTACAGTTTTCCATCATGTAATCACTTTTAACCGTTATCTTCGTATTGCGTCTATTTAAAGCTTTATTACACTTTGTTATTGTTGTCGTCTTACGTTAAAGATCACTTTCGTTTCTTGTCATCGCTTAGACTGGTAATCCCTTATCTTAAAGTTGATGCACAATCTAGTGCCCACACTTCTCTCATTCCTTGGATCAGGACTCTTAATTCAACGAACTGCAGCTTCCTCGTCCTTGGATCAAGCCTGATTACTTCCCATTCACAAGCGCTATACGACCCCTACGAGTTAAGCTCTTCTCCATGATTATTATTACTATTAGAAGTAGTAGTAGTAGTAGTAGTAGTAGTAGTAGTAGTAGTAGTAGTAGTAGTAGTAGTAGTAGTAGTAGAAGCAGTAAAAGCAGTAGCAGCAGTAGTAGTAGCAGTAATAGTAGTAGTAAATAATAATAACAGTAAGTTATAATAATAATAGTAATAAAAGTAAATTTTGTTTATATACTTTCTTTAAATATTATTTATAATCGCTTTCATAATGACTTCCAGCCATAATCCTAGTAATTACTATTATTATTATTATTATTATTTTTAATTTGTTATAATGATTATTTTTTGACATTTAGTAAATATTATTATACCAGAAAAGCTTATCATCATCATTATTATTGTCACTCATTATCATTATGACCATGGTAATTATTATTACCACCGCCACCACCACTACTACAGTAACACCCTCCCCCTCCTCTTTCTACTCCACTATCCCCACTCACCTCACCCGCCATTACACTCTCCCCCACTCCTCCTCACCCCTACTCGTTTAGAATGAGACATAATGGTACCATTTAAGTGATGGGAGACATGGTGGTGGGACAATGAGAGGAAAGGGGATCGATACCTATCCCCGGGAAGGATGGGGGACACTAGGATTTGCTAGAGATGATCGCTAACCATTGTAGCGCTGTCCTTGGCTGTCCGTGGCACTGTCCTTGTCATTGTCCGTGCCTCATCCATACTGAGGAAAGTTTCGGGCCTATCTCTCTCCTTCCCCTTCTCTCAGACTCTCCTTTCCCTTTCTCTTCCAGTTACACACCTACACACGTGTACATCCACACACACAAACAACGGTACACTTCATAAGCTCGTGTACATATACATACCTTCACGCACATGTACATCCATAAGGTATACAATACCTACAAGCTCATGAATAAGACATGTGCAATACATGGACTGATCACATCAGAATTACTACATCTACTGTCTTCAGTGTTATGTCTACTTGTATTCTACTGAAAACGCCTGTTATGCGAGTGAAACGTTTTGGCAATAACGAGCTTCGCTAACCATTCGATCCATTACTGCTCTCATTTTCCTGGGATCAAACCTGATTACCCCCCCCCCCACATTCTGAAGGTTGTGTATGAATCTTGCGGGATGTACACTTTTCAGGTTAACAGTCATCCGTCATCTTCAGGTCTCCGTCCTTACTTTGCTATACTTCACTCCTTTTCTTCCTGGTGTGGTCAGCCTGGCGTGTCTTCATACCTTGTTATTGCAGCTATGTTGGTATGTGGGAATGAGACCAGGACAGCGGCGTTTTCTAGCTTATTTCCGGACATCGCTCTTCTGGGCTAAGAACTTTAGTTCTCCAAGAAGGTTCGTGTGAACTTCGCCGCCTCTGGTGAGAGGGCTGGGGAACTTCCCTTGGATCCTTGGTGCTGTGTTTGGTTCTCTTCTAACCTGGCCGGATGATGGGCATAGGTTTGAGGTAACTTTGTGTGAGGCTTCCCTGGCTTGTGGTTCTCTTCCATCTTTGCTTGATACATAGCCCTTCCTCTCAGCTGTGTCCTCCCAAATAGGCCACTCGACAAAAAAAGTCTATTTCACTTCCCCTGTTTCTGTCCTGCCAGGACAATTCTCCTCGGGTCTTTAGCCTCGCTTGGAGCGCGCTGCCTATGCCTTCCACTTCTAGACGCCTGAGGTGGAACTCGCTTCTGCAGTTAGTTTAGTTGTGCCACATGAGCGGCTAGTTTATTGTGCACCCCACGCTCCTGTGAGCGGTAGCGCAAAAGAAAAAAAAACAGGATTACAGAGATCACAAAGTCTTCGTCAGATCCCACTGAAAACTGGTACACCACTAGAAAGGAGGGATATTAGTCATTTCGTATGTTTCAGTTACTTCGTATAATTGTTCACAGTACAGTAATACAACCTAAAGAAAAAATATATATAATTACCACTATTTTTTTTCCAGTTTATTCATGTAGTTGTACACAGTACAGTAACTAACAGAATCTTAAAAAAATTATTTCTTATTACCACAAAAAAAAAATTGGTCATACCTGAGTTGCCTTCTCAATAAAGACAGTCTGTTCATATACTCGATGCAAAATATGGATACACACTCAAGATTTAAGATATAATATCATTAACAATGAGGTGTTTTACCATAGCGTGTCAGGTTTCATGGAGGTGTTTCTGAAAGGCTGGATGTTAGGATATAATGCTTCAGTGTATGACCCCAAAAATACTTACAGCCTAGCCTTAGTTTTACAATCTACTGACCTTGTTACTTTCTTCATAGACATGTTTGACTTGACACATTTCATTATGATAAAAAATGGATCTGCTATTTATTACATATACTGTTCTACTTTATTCTAGGTTGTTTGCTAGTTCCTTTCTGACAATGTTTCTTAAACTACTGTTTGAAAAATCAAAGTTACATTCAACATTCTCTTTATTTAATGCTTGTTTAGCTAATTCATCAACTTTGTTATACTTCTGGGCACCTGTGTGCTAGCGTCGCAGTTTCCTGAGGCATAAGTATTCCTAGACAAAGCGGCCGGGTGGCTCTTCAGTTGGGTTCATATGGCCGTTGCAGCCCTTCACTCTAACATTAAATATAATAATATAATCAAATTACGCGCTAAATCCGAAAGCGAATATACAGTGGAGCTCATACGGCACAAGGCGCCGTAGCCCTTAAACCCAACAACACTAGAAGTGTATAGTATCTGAGAGTAAATACACTGAAAGTTTACTGCCATACTTATTTTATGGGTTAAACTATCTTTGATGTTACTTCCTGGGTACATTATATTCTTAATGATCATAGTTTAGTTGATAGACCTGAATGTGACTTTGGACAATTGTTTATCCACTAAATGCTGCCTTCTGCGACACATTTGCTCCACAAATGGTGCATGCGACGAAATGTTTATTCGTTCACTGGTGCATCCGAGGCCCTGTTGATCCACTAAATGGCGGCGGGGATGCTAGCTGTAATCCACCTGGCCGCCTCCCCGCTCCAAGTGACGCCAGCTCTCAAGACTAAGGTCAATATTTTTTTTAATTAACAGGTATTTAACACAATGGCCATGACGGTAGAGCTTGGCACGAGGATCATTTTAACTCGGATTATGTCGACTTAATTTGTTGAAGTACTCCGTGTGTGTGTGTTTGGATGAAGGAGAGTGGGGGAGAGGGATGGCAGGGTGTTGTGGGTGAGGGGGAGAAGGGTGAGGGCTAGAGGGGAGGAGAAAGTGAGGGGTAAAGAGATGGTGTGGAGTGAGGGGGGGTAGGACGGTATTAAGTGTTAGCGAGTGGAAGAAGAGTAAGGGGTGAATGATGGGGGTGAGGCAGAGT